TGTTCAGTGCAAGTGCTTATTGCAGGGTGCTTACTGCAGGTGCTTATTGCAAGATGTTCATGTGGAGTGCTCACTGAAGGTGCTTATTGCAGGGTGTTCACTGCAGGGTGCTCACTACAGGTGCTTACTGCAGGGTATTCACTGTGAGGTGCTCACTGCAGGTGCCTATTGCAGAGTGTTCACTGTGGGGTCCTTACTGCAGGTGCTTATTGCAGGGTGTTCACTGTGGGGTGCTCACTGCAGGTGGTTACTGCAGGGTGTTCACTGTGGGGTGCTCACTGCAGGTACTTATCGCAAGGTGTTCACTGTGGGGTGCTCACTGAAGGTGGTTATTGCAGGGTGTTCACTGTGGGGTGCTCTCTGCAGGTGCTTATTGCAAAGTGTTCACTGTGGGGTGCTCCCTGACGGTGCCTACTGCAGGGTATTCATGTGGGATCCTCACTGCAGGTACTTGTTGCAGGGTGTTCACTGTGGGGTGCTCACTGCAGGTGCTTATTGCAGGGTATTCACTGGGGTGCTCACTGTAGGTGGTTATTGCAGGGTGTTCACTGTGGGGTACTCCCTGCAGGTGCTTATTGCAAGGTGTTCACTGTGGGGTGCTCCCTGAAGGTGCTTACTGCAGGGTATTCATGTGGGGTGCTCACTGCAGGTGCTTATTGCAGGGTGTTCACTGTAGGGTGTTCAGTGCAAGTGCTTATTGCAGGGTGCTTACTGCAGGTGCTTATTGCAAGATGTTCATGTGGAGTGCTCACTGAAGGTGCTTATTGCAGGGTACTTACTGCAGGTGCTTATTGCAGGGTGTTCACTGTCAGGTGCTCACTGCAGGTGCCTATTGCAGGGTGTTCACTGTGGGGTACTTACTGCAGGTGCTTATTGCGGGGTGTTCACTGTGGGGTGCTCACTGCAGGTGGTTACTGCAGGGTGTTCACTGTGAGGTGCTCACTGTAGGTACTTATCGCAAGATGTTCACTGTGGGGTGCTCACTGAAGGTGGTTATTGCAGGGTGTTCACTGTGGGGTGCTCTCTGCAGGTGCTTATCGCAAGGTGTTCACTGTGGGGTGCTCCCTGACGGTGCTTACTGCAGGGTATTCATGTGGGGTGCTCACTGCAGGTACTTATTGCAGGGTGTTCACTGTGGGGTGTTCAGTGCAAGTGCTTATTGCAGGGTGCTTACTGCAGGTGCTTATTGCAAGATGTTCATGTGGAGTG